TTTTTTAAAAGCAAATCAAATAGCTCTTTAATTACGACACAAATCCTAACACATAGGTTTTTTTTTTTGGGATTTACCTACATACCACTTTATTTCATACTATTTACATATCTAACACCTATGATTTTAATATTACATGCATATCACCCATAGAACAAATATGTGTGCATGAAATGAAATATTAAAGTTTATAGGGTGGTATTAGTGTTAAGAATGAAATATATGAGTGACATATTTGATATTAAAATTTTGGGGTTTTTACATCCATACCACTTTATAACATGTATTTTACATATTTGACACCCTAAACATTAATATTTCATATTTAACACCTAAACACAATTCTATCTTCATATATACCACTCCGTCCATTCCATCGCTCACGACGTTATCCCCGAAACCTCACTTTCCCGCCTTTGGTGTGTTCGGTGTTCCCCCTCTCGCGCGCTCCGCCACTTTCTCTGTTCTGTGTTATCATTCGCGCGCGCTCGAGCAGCCCACGACTGCTACCAAGGTCGGACTTTGCTTCCTCTGTTCGCAACGTCGGCGTGATATCGCATACCGAAGGTATGCAGTAATGCCAAACCGTTTCAGTGCAGCAAATAGAACTTGAGGAAAGGGTTATTCGAATAACAGCAAATACTAAAAATTTACAAATTGATTTGTTCAATAGGATTTCAGTCGATTGGGTGTTCTCAATTTTTGTGTATTAATGTGTTCGAACACAGCCTCCTTTGTAAGTTTTGATTACACAGTTATTTCTACTCTTGAAAAATCTAAATCACATTTTGAAATGAATTTTTTGTCTCTGGTATTGCAGGTTTCTGATGATAGCACTGTTGAAAAAAGAGAGGAATTATTGGTCTCATTTAAATATGGAGGTATTTGGGTGGAAACCTCGGATCCATGTAGAAGAAGGTACAATGGCGGCAAATAAAGAACTGTTAAATTTCAGAAAAGCTATTTTAATATTTACAAACTTAGAACAGAAATAGCTAGAATATGTCCATGGCTCAAAGGACATCAATAGGTATAGAGTTGCATACGATGGAGCAATAGCCGCGCTACCTGGAAAGGATCAGTGGAGAGTAGGCGATGATGCTGTCGAAGTTGGAGTGCCGAGTACATCCAGACCAAGGGGTCGGCCCCGCAAAAAAAGAATAGTAAATTTCTTGGAAAAGGACAAGAAAGCTCATAAATGTGGTAGGTGTGGTCTTTGTGGTCATCATCGGAGCACTTGCAAAAACCCACTCCAAAAAAATAACAACGAGACTACATATTCCACTCAATATGGCATCCCGAGACGAGAGAAGTTGTCAGGCAGAAGGAATGTTGCTGACATTGAAGTTGAAGAATTTCAATATTCATATCTTCATGGTTTATAAGTATATCCCTTAATGTGGTTTTTTGTGTAAAACAACATATACTTCCAGCTTTTGGTATTCATATCGCTGTATGAAGTTGAAGATTTTTGGGAACTTTTGCAGTAAATCGAAAATTTGAGCAAATCCAAGCTGCTACATTTTAATGTGGTTTTTTGTGTAAAACAACATATACTTCCAGCTTTTGGTATTCATATCGCTGTATGAAGTTGAAGAATTTTGGGAACTTTTACAGTAAATCGAAAATTTGAGAAAATCCAAACTGCTACATTTTGTTACAAAGTCAGACAAATAACTTGTCTGGAAGAAATGCGGTAAACAATGCTACAGGCATGAAACAGTTTAAACCAATTTATTAGACTTGTTATTCATGAAACAGTTTAAACAGATTTTGGCTCAGGCAATGCTATAGAAAACCACGATTACAATTAGAGAACTTATCTGTTTTACAATTTATCTCAACCAAAATTTTTATATACAATTGCAAACTGTAATCTGTAAACGATAGCAAACTGTGTTACACGTTTCATAAGATAAAAAACATTCATTTAATTTGAGAAGATACAACACAGTACAAAACATGTTCCACAAAACATCACAGTTACAACAACACAGTTACAACAACACAGTTACAATTACTTTTTAAGCAAAATACATCCTAACGATAACGTCGAGGGCAACAAGAGCAATAAACACTTTCAACTGAAATATGACCAAGTCAAGCTTCTTCAAAATCTTGTCGTCTGCGGCTTTTAAATCATAATGTGTATCATGATAAGGCTCTTCTAATTCATCCATCCATTTAAAGAAATTGCAATCGTCATCAGTTCGACTATGAATGCATCTATAAAATTGTCGGCCTCGATTAGGTCCTCGAAAGCATGTGTACACCACACACTTCAACTGACAGTAACAATAAATTTGTGATTGCTGTTGTGTTCTGTCCCTAGCTGAAGAATTCATTGAAGTCATTGGAGAAGTTTTGTAGAATCTGTAAAAGCAAAAAAATGTCAAAACTCATGGATAATCCATTAGAAAAATTTTTTTAGAAAAGTTCAGCAGCAATGAGTTCATTTGCGAAAAAAAAAAATGTAGAAAACTTGGCCACAGGCGGAGCTTCGGCAACAATTAGTTCATTTGCGAAAAAAAATGAAAAAAACTTCGGCACAGACGGTGCTTCAGCAGCTAAGAGTTCATTTGCGGAAAAAATGTAGAAAACTTCCGCAAAGACGGAGCAATACGAAGAACTTTACCTTCGGCGGTGGTTTAGGTCAAAATACTCACGAAACTCACGGAGGGCAAGCAAATGTGGAGAAATCTGACCAGACGAGGGCAACGCCTTTTGCTCGCGAGGTTACCCTGGAGCTGTTCGACCTAGGGACTGGAAAGGGAAAACTCGCGGGAGGGAGAAGGGAAGACTCACGGTGAAACCTGTTCGAGAGAAAGGGATAACGTCGTGAGCGATGGAATGGACGGAGTGGTATATATGATGATAGAATTGTGTTTAGGTGGTAAATATGAATATTAAAATTTAGAGTGTCAAATATGTAAAAATAGATGTTATAAAATGGTACAGATGTAAAAACCCCAAAAAAAACAAAAAGACATAAAGTCATCTTATTCTCTTATTATAATCCAAGAACAAAGTTTATGGCAGAGAACCTGAGTTTTTGGTGGAAGAGGTGAGAAGCGATGGGGGCGCTCTCTCTCTACCGAGGTAATCTCCACCGCGTCGCTGACATTCCCCGCCGGTGGCTGATGCCGCCGCGCGCCATTTCCCTCGCCCAGTTCCGTCACCTTCTCCGCAAGCGAAACCTAGCTATTGCACAATTCTCATCCTTAAATAACCCTAATTGTAAGCCTAACCCTAGAGTGAGTAATGAGAAGCATGACGACATGGACAAGGCCGGATGCCATAAAGAAGACCCGATCAACTGCGTTTCCTTTTCGGAACCGAGCGGATCGGCATTGAACGATTGCAAGGGGATCGTTGCCATCACTGAGGATCGTATAAAGCTATTTTAATATTTGCAAACTTAGAATAGAAATAGCTAGAATATGTCCATGGCTCAAAGGACATCAATATCTTATGTATTACCACATTTATGGAACAACACCCAAAGAATATAAAATTATTACTACGGATAATGATGTGAATGAGTTGGTGAAACAGTCGAATGGGAATTTACGTGTTGAGATTGTTATTGTATTACATGAAGTAGATGCAGATGAACCGATTTCAAATCCTATGGAGGTTGTGAGTTCAGACATGGTTGAATGTTCTATTACAAATATGGGTATTAAAAATTTAGAAGTTGGCACACTCTACAATGATGCACTAACTTTCAAACATGCTCTGCGTTCAGTAGCCATTAAAAACAACTTTGGTGTTAGAATTAAAGCAAGTGATAAGAAACGGGTTATTGCAAAATGTTCTTACCAAGGATGTCAGTGGAGAATTCGTGCATCCCTTTGTGAAGATACTCAGTCTTTCCAGATAAGGCGAGTTGATGGAGAACACACTTGTCCTGGTGTCAATCGTGCAGGGAATAGACTCGCCACATCTGCATGGGTTGCCAATGAAATTCATGATCTAGTGAAGAGGCATCCTGACATTCCACCAAATGAAATAAAGAGCAATATAGAAAAAGAGTATGGTTTATCAGTACCTTACATGAAGCTTTGGAGAGCTAGAGAACAAGCACGTAATACTATTTTCGGTTCGGTTGATGATAGTTTCAAATGGGTCCCAACATTGAAAGCTGAATTACTTGAAAGAAATCCGGGGTCACATATTAGATTCACATGTGCTGTTGTGTTCTGTCCCTAGCTGAAGAATTCATTGAAGTCATTGGAGAAGTTTTGTAGAATCTGTCAAAGCAAAAAAATGTCAAAACTCATGGATAATCCATTAGAAAATTTTTTTTAGAAAAGTTAAGCAACAATGAGTTCATTTGCGAAGAAAAATGTAGAAAACTTGGCCACAGGCGGAGCTTCGGCAACAATTAGTTCATTTGCGAAAAAAAATGAAAAAAACTTCGGCACAGACGGTGCTTCGGCAGCTAAGAGTTCATTTGCGGAAAAAATGTAGAAAACTTCGGCAAAGACGGAGCAATACGAAGAACTTTACCTTCGGCGGTGGTTTAGGTCAAAATACTCACGAAACTCACGGAGGGCAAGCAAATGTGGAGAAATCTGACCAGACGAGGGCAACGCCTTTTGCTCGCGAGGTTACCCTGGAGCTGTTCGACCTAGGGACCGGAAAGAAATAGATGGATTGCGGCCGGGGAAGGGATAACTCGCGGGAGGGCGAAGGGAAGACTCGCGGTGAAACCTGTTCGCGAGAAAGTGAGGTTTCGGGGATAACGTCGTGAGCGATGGAATGGACGGAGTGGTATATATGAAGATAGAATTGTGTTTAGGTGTTAAATATGAAATATTAATGTTTAGGGTGTCAAATATGTAAAATACATGTTATAAAGTGGTACGGATGTAAAAACCCCTAAAATTTTATATAAGTCGTAAAAATACAATATTAAAATTTTAAATATTAGATCTATAAATAGAAAATAAAATGATATGCATGTAAATTTCCCTTTTTGAAGAAGGAATGGGGGATATCAGAAAACAAAAAATTTTCCGGTTAATGTGTGAGGAGAACCAGAATGGAGGAGACGGGCTTCCTCACAGTGGAGAAGATAGACGGGAAGTCAACAGTCACTCGCTGCTTCTCCAAATACCCTCTCAAGCTGATCATCCCCAACAAGGTGAGAATTCTAAATTCGCCGTCTATTTTCTCCCTTCTTCCATCCATCTCACTTCATCTTCCCCTTTCTCCATGATTTCCTCGACTCTAGGCCGGCTCTTCTACCACCGACGCAGTTTGGGTCTTCAGTCTATCTTATGGCGGCGGCATCGTCTCGGTCCTCAAAAAATCCCGTTTACGATATTACTAACCTTGATGATATCTCTTTCCGTTTCTGATTTAGTCCGCATTGCTGTTGGGTTTCAGGGAGATCGTGTAGTTGTTGGGCTGAGTGTTGGTGATGGGTGCACTGTTGCTCTGACAACTCAGGCTTCAACCAAGGTTTGTTCATGTGATTGTAAAATTTGTGTTTAGATTGGTTTGATATGCAGAGTTGAAGCAGGAATGTCTTGAATATGATTGAATTGCTCGTTATATTCTTTCTTCTCTAAGTCGTGTTTTATGATTTGGATGATGTGCTAGAACCGCTTGTACTTGATTTTAACTTGGAGGAAATGGTGTTCGAAACATTCTCTATGGTTATATCGCGTGAATAAGTTTACGGAACAATAGTGACCAGGTTAAATTTATTAGAACGTCTTGATCAGATATGTTCAGAGCTAAATAAGCTGATATTAAGTTTTCTTAGGCGCATGATTAGGTGCTGATATTAAATTTTTTAGGCTGTTGAATGGAGTACTTACGATGTGTACTTGGACAAAAAATGCTGTTGAAGTTGAATAAGAATCAAATTGTTGAGCAAATATAAACATCTGCAGTTCATCTAGTTTGAGTGTTGGAAATTTAGGCTCTGTTTAGATTGAAGGAAAGTGAAGGAAATGTAATGAAAAAAAAAAAAAAGTTTGAAAAGCTTGCATTAATGACCGCTGAGTCATGATCAACCCATAAATTGTTGAGATTTCATTTCCTTTCCTTAAATCCAACAAGAGCCGTAGCCATTCCTTTGGCACAATGTAGCTGTTAATCTGTGTTAGATGTTTGTTGTGGAGCTTAAATTCCCTTAAATAGTCAAGGATCCAAATTATGCAGCCTATCTTGACCTATTGATTGAGAACTTATGAAGGATTCAAATACAAAGATTGAGATTAAATACTGGATAAGATATTGATAAAATTTAAATAATCCTTGGATTTTTTTTTAGTGCAAAACTAAGTCAAAACTCTGTTCATATATTTTACAAGTTCTTGCAATTATCAGCCTATTACCAAAACAAGTGGTTAAGGTGATTTATTATTTTTTGAACAAAAATTTATTGTTTGTTGACGATGACTACAATAAAGTTATAGTCCATGAACAATAATTTTCCCATCATAAAAGAGTTGGAACTGCTAGAATTTCAAGAAATTCTCATGAAAGTTTATTTCAAAGTGATTGATATATAATGCAATCCAAAACCACTATTTTGGTACCATTTGGTGCTAATGATGGCGGTCAATAATTCTCGTAGATTTACAAAGTTGAGAATCAATAATATCTGCAACTTTATCGTAAGTGAGGATATCTAGAGATGAGAACCACATGTTGTTTGCCTTCTCTAGTTCCCTGTGGTGCTCGTTCCTGCCCCCCTTGTTGTTAAGGGGTTGGGCGGGGTGGCAGCTCATGAGCTGTTGTTTTCACTGATTAATGTGTAGTTAAATTCATTCCCCACCCCCTTTTCCCCCCTTCCCCTACTGCCCCTTTGGTTCCCCCGCCTGGCTCTTCCCGTGGTTGGTTCCTTTCCCCTTTGGCTGCCAGTTCCAGTTCCCTGTGGTGCCCATTCCTGACCCCCTTGTGGCTGCATATTTCAGTTCCCTGTGGTGCCCGTTCCTGTCTTCCGTGGCTGCCTTTTCCAGTTCCATGTGTGGCTCTTGGCTGCTGCTCCTGGACATATTGCTGACCTTCTATTTTCCCTATCTTAATGGTTCAGTTGGAGGTGGTTTTAAGGGCTGTTTGGCTGCCCCTTTTCACCTATATATATGTAATATTTTGTAAGCAGATTTGGAGAGAGTTATGTGAGGAATTTTTGGAAGAAACATGAGGGTTTTCCTTGATAGCTTGCGAGCTATGTATCCCCTTCTCCTTCTTCTAGGATAGCTTGCGAGCTATGTCTCTTCTTCGTCTCAGCTTCTTACCGCTTTCTTCTCTCCGCAAGTTTGACGCCTTTTGTATCTTTCTTCTCGATGGATGGAATGTAAGTTTAGGTGTTTTTTATTTATTTTGTAAGTGCCGTTTTATGTTATAAAGTTGTATTTTTATTTTGTGTTTCTTTTTTGTGACCAAGGGTCTCCTACTTATTTTGGGAGCTTTTGGTTGCATCACTTATTATCACTAGATCATATATCTCCTTTGATGTAGGAGTTGTGAGCCAGAGCATAGAAACTTCGAAAGAGAAACCTTGGGAGATTGTTTTGCATATCCTTAGGTATATCAAGAAGTTATCCAGGAAATGACTACCATACACTAATAATGGGTGCATTAATGTGAAACCTTTTCTATTGCTGATTGTGCTGGATTAGTTGATGATAAAAAATCTACATATGGATATTGCATGTTTGTGAGATATAACTTGGTCCCATGGAAAAGCAGGTAAAAATAGTGGTGGCCAAATAAAGCACCAAGGGAGAATATAGTGCCATGGCATCTTACATGTGAAATGATATAGGTTAAGACGCTCCTGATGAAATTATCTTTTTAATCGCACTTCTCATGTTCTTAAACTGTAATAATCTTGCTGTCATCTACATTACAAGTAATCTCATGTTCAATGAAAGAACCAAACACATTGAGGGTGATTACCAATTCATTTGGGATACAATGTTAGAAAAGAAGATCATTACTCTTTATATTTGTAAATCTAAACAATAGACAATTATATCAATCAAAGCTTTAGTTCCAATTCAATTTTTAAATTTATGTAACAAATTGAAGCTAATTGATATATATGCTCTAATTTGAGGAAGGTTTTAGCATTAACATTATGGTTTTAGAAAAAATTTATATTTATAGTTAGTGAATTATGTTTATTTTGTTATCCTTTAGGGCATATTTCTGTTATCTATTATAAATAAGGATCTCTACAAGTGAATGTTACACAAATTTCTTTTGTCTCAATAATTATCATTAATATTCTTAACCCGTTAGTCTTTCTACCTTTTTGTTTATCTGGAAGATGAAATAAAATTCATATTTCATATTGTCTATTTTTAAGCGATATTTACATGGGTACCATAATAAGCTTTCTATTATACCTATGGGATAGCCATACTTGAAAATAGCAATTTACCGCTCAAATCCTTTGGCTTTTCCAAACATGTTGTCAGGGTCATCATCTGACAAAGTTTTTGTTATATTTCAATATCTCAAACAACTTCAAAGATTATGAAAGACTCCCTCTCTCTCTCTCTCTCTCTCTAAGATGTCTAGAAGCTTGAGGACAGTGGGTTGTGTTTGTGGTGGATTGGCATGACTTTCTATTATTCCGGGTCATTCGAATTGGGAGCTGGCACTGACCATTCAATTGTGAATGTGGCTGAGGAGGATTGGATAAATGGTGAGATGCATGCTTAGCTTCTCAGATTAATACAATTAATCATAGTTAGTCCATGGGTTGGCAATGTTAATAGTGCTGTTAGATGAGAATTAATTGGAAATGCCTACATCTTTATTGAATTGTTATCTTAGTATAACCATATATGTGCCTCACTGTCTCTCTCTTTCTCTCATTGAATTGGCAAACAATCGATGTGGGTTGCAAGCACTTGAACAACACAAGCAAAGCTTTATGGCTGTGATATCATGTTAGAAGGGACTAGGGAGAGAATATTTTGGTAATAAAAGAGGATATAAATATAAGGATAAAGAAAAATATAATAGTTGAGAATATTCTCAATTATAAAGAAATAGAATAATAAAAAATATTGCATATTCTTATCATAAATAGTAATACATGTGATGGTGCTGATATGATAATAAATGGCACGTTTAGTAAAGCATGAATATTTCAGTTGGCATAAGAATAATATTTGAAATTAGTTGCTTTTTAATCGACAGGTGATGTAGGAAGCATTTCATGCAGACCGATAAACATTACATTACATTCCTTGTCTTGTTTGACTGTCTCATGCGTAACAAGGCAGGCCCTTTACATTTACTTTCTATTTAAACAGGTATACAAGTCTGTTGACTCCAAATGCAGTGAGCAAGTCCTAGAGGTACCTCCACCATTTTAATTTCTGAATTGATGAGCTGTCCATCTATGAAAATGTTTGGTTACCATCATTATAAAAGTAAGATTATGATAGTCTTAGAAATGATAAAATTGCTCGAGTTGTACTAGTCATTTTATCCTCGTTGAAACTGCTCAGTAGGATGAATTTATTTGCACGCAGTAGGCTAAAGTCGGGAGGAACGCATTATTGGCTGTTATTCCAGATCCTGTTACTTGCTTCTCAGCAGCAATATACTCTCAAAAACAGGTATTCCGGATCTCTTCTGATTCAAATTTGGTAGTAGTGGATTGGATTACTAGTGGACGACATGAGAGCGGGGAAAAATGGGACTTTGTGTTTTACAAGAGCAGCAATAACATATTTTTGGATGGGGGTGAACCTCTATTTGTTGATTCGGTAATTCTCTCTTTTGTACTTATTTTGCGTGATTGCTGAAACTTATTGCAATTATTGGTGATATTCTAGTGTTATGTATTGTTTGATGAAATTTATGGCATCACAGTTTAAGTTCTCAAACAAAAATTGAATTTACTTCTAAAAAAGAATTTTATCTTATCTTTTTGTTAAATGAATCGGAAGACAGCAAGTCTCTTTTTCTTTGTCTCAAGGATTTATGCAATAATTATTTCTATAATAATTGTAAGACAGGATTAGAGAAGTAAAGATAAACTTGTTTGATGGGACAAACGAGACACGTAAGCTAACTGCATAAATCATATTCTTAGGTTCAAGAATTTTCTATTGAATTTAAGTATGTTTCATGAGCTTGAATGCCTACAAGAGCTAGTTGATTGATTTCCTACGTTTTCTTAATTATTACTTACTCCATTTGTTCATTAAAGGCATGGTTGACATGGAATTCAATAGTTGATGAAAATTTTGCATCTTTGTAAGAGTACATTTTTGAGGTCGCTATGACTGCCATATCCACATGGTCCTTTAATTCAGATTTAGATTAAGCTTGATATGTGTACTAAGAGGTTCTTTTTTGCTATAAGCAATCATTCTCGTATGTCAGTGTTATAAGTATGGAGTCAAAATTTTCTAAATATTGAAAATAGTGGTTCTCTTCAATCACCTGAAAGTCTTAAAAGAAGGATACCACAAAGTCTTAAATGTTTGTTATCATAAATTTATAAATAGATGGTATTATACAAGCTTACATGAAGGTTATCATAGAAGTCTACAATATGGGCTACATAAGTCATATTGGAAGGCGAACGCTTCACTATATAAACCCATGTAATCCTCACTTCTAAAACATCTGTAATCATAAGAGAAAAAAGAGGAGCAGCGAAGGTAAGAGAGGAAGACGTTTTTGTATTAGAAAAGATAAAAGAAGCATCGTCAATGATTTTTTCGCCACATTCAACCATTGTCTTCACAACATGTGATTGTGTTCCTTCTCAGTCGTTAACACAATCAAAGTGGTATCTTTTTCGTTATGAAATGTAATATCTCACTATGTCTCTTTTGAAATTTAATGAATGAAATTTCATGTGCAGTCGTAGATTTAGGTAAATCTCATTGAATCATATAAACTTGCTGACTTGTATTTGAGATATTTGGTGTGGCCATTCTGTTATCCTCATTCAATTTATTTCCCAAGTTTTATCATTATCTTAACAATTGATATCAGAGTTTTGGTCTAAAATGATTTTAAATTTGAACATGGAAAGGGGAAGGTCAAAATTGGCAAATTTGATGGCCGGAATTTTGTGTTTCTAAAGATGCAGATAGATGATTAGTTGTACCAAAGCAAACTCAAGCAATCACTGAATGTTGTAAAGCAGCCATCAATCGGCCAAGAAGAGTTATAAACAAGTTATAGGTGTCATTTGCCTATCCCTTAGCATAAACGTTGCATTTAACATCCATAATGAAACAATAATAATAGGTGTCATGAAAGCGCCCTCCGATATGTATGAAATCTCATGATTTCAGAAGAAGCTTCGACCACCAATCTCATCAACGAGTTCAACTCAATCAGGAGATAATTGAACTGTGTGAACATCAGGATTGATTATGAGAGCCATGCATTGAGTTTTCTCTCAGCATTGCCGGAGAGTTGGGATGACATTGTAAGTCATCTAATTCTTATGGATCGTAAGAGATGAAGCTTAGTGACGTCAGAGATTTATTCTTAGTGAGGATATCAGACGACATGAAAAAGTTGAAAACTTGAAATTACATCTTTTTTTCTAAATATTAATAGCAAGAGCGGGTCTCAAAATTTTGGAAACAGTAAATGGAGAAGCATGTTAGAATCTCTTGGTAAAACTTTTCAATTAAATCAAAATAGAAACAAGTTTCGAGATGACCCAAATAAATGTTGAGATTGTGACAAGTCTGGCTGCTTGATGAAATGATGCAGAAAAAAGAGGGGTGAACAAAGCCAAAAGCCAAAAGAAGAGACAATGAATGTCACTATGGAAGATATTTATGATGCGCTGATACTTAATGTTGATAGTTCGATGGAAACATGGATATTATACTTGTTGCGAGCTGAGAAATTTGAGATGGTAGAGTGCAAAGATTTTACATCCTAGCTATACACGAAAATTCAGCACACAAACAAGAACTTGAAGAGACAGAGGGACACCAGAGTTTTAACGTGGAAAACCTTATAAAGGGTAAAAGCCACGGGGCCTTGTCCAGTTAAAAGGATTCCACTTTTGTTTGAATAAAATACAGAGATCAATACGTTCTTAAATACAAGGAGAATACAATATATTGAAGATTTTTGTCAAACTCCAAATAGGTGCTTATGATCTTGAATGGTTGACGAATGAACGAGCGAAAGTCTGTTGGCAGTCGATGATCGGGAAGAGATCTGGCAGTGTTCGTCGAGCGGGCTGAAGTTTGGAGACTTTCGAAAGTCGGTAAGAACTCCGGCGGTTGCCGGGAAAAACTCTGGTGGTGGTCGAGAAGACCTCTAGCGGGTCGAGATGAAATCCGACGGTGGTTGGTGGCAAGAGAACTCTTGAATCCTTCTCTTCTCTTCTCCTTTTTTAGAGCATCTGATTCATATATGAATCGAGATTAGTGCCCGATCAAAGTGAATTTTTGGTGACATATCAATACTCATGTGCATCATTTAATTCTTCCTCTAATAAAAATTTAATAACAAACTATTGCACATGCAATTATGACAATTTATGCTAATGATGAACCACAGAATATTGTGGTATTGTTGGTGTTGCAATCAAGATAACATGTGTTAAAAAAATATACACATCCCTAGCTTATGGAGAAACCTTTTCTCCGTGGGGCAGCTAGCTACAAAAGAATGTCATGCCACTTTCATTGATGATACTTGAAATGTGACAAAAGATGCCTTGGTGTTTGCTCGAGGAAATAAGATAGGCATTCTTTACACCACCACTAACACTGAAATAATAGGAGTTGTGTCTAATGCAGAGGTCAATTCAAATCTATTACATCAAAAGTTAGGCCGTATGAGTAAGAAATGTCTAAAGATTTTTCACTCAATAGGCAAAATTTTATGTTTAAAATCAATTGAATCCACCTTTTATGAACACTATATTCTAAGGAAATAAAGAAGGGTTGGAGCTAATACACACAGATATAGAGGGTCCATACCCCATTATATCAAATCTTTCAAGACTCGACACAATTGAAACTATGGAGAAATATTTTATTTTCTATGAAACTTTTCACATATTCAATTATTCCTTGGATGCTATGTGCAGGGGTAGAAGGTGAACAAATTTTAAGTAATTAAATAATAGTAACAACAATAATCAAATGAATAAAAAGATATAGAATTAGTATTTCTAAAAATAAAACTAGTAAGATAATTCCATCAAATTTATATGAGAATATAATAAAAAAAAAAGTTTAAGCTATGTGTTTTAATTTTAATTAATTAATCAGTTCATTAAGAGTAAAGAGTTAAGTTGGGCAATTTTTTTATGAAGATTGGATAAAACTATAAATTGAGGGTAGGCAAGTTCCTAAAAAATATAATCTTCTATGGGGAAATTTTTTTTTTGAGCGTAGGCATTTTGAATATGTTAGAGCCAACTTGATTCCACCTCTGGCTACATGGAGATTTGAAGCAGATATCCATCCAACCAGAATAGATCAAGATCGTTCTTCTTTTAGATGATCTCATTCTCTCTTTATCTTTCAATATCTTTTTTGCTTGACATAATGGGTTTGCGCTTGATAAGTTGATCTTAAATATAGTTTATTTATTTATTTATCTACTTTATCTACCATCTTTAGCTTTGAAATCTTGAAAAATAAAGAGAATCATGTGGGTGAGCTTCATCTTATATTTTCCCAGATTTGCAGCGTCATGATATCCTGTCTGTGCTTCTCATATAAGTACCCAAGCTTCATAGTTGCTCACTGTATCATTAAGCTATTCGATGATTCATCTACAGTAACATAACTGAATGAAATAGAATTAATACGTGAATTGCTCCACGTAAGAAGTTTAATAAACTCTCCCTTTGGCATTGTTTTCCATTAATAAAGTGAACATAATCTTGCGTGTGCTTTCTTTTCTTCTATTTTCTATAAATATTTTCTTTCTATTCTTAGGTCTTACTTGAGCAGACATCAACTACTAGCGTTGCTGAACGCATGAAAGATTACCAAGTTGTGGCAATGGTTATTATCTTGGGGTAACTTTATTAGCTGCCATCTTCTCTTCGGCTGGTCTCCTTTTTTTTTATCCTCCTGGCAGCTTAAAATTTAATTACCACATAACATGTTGATATTGTATCTTACCAACTCTTCCAAGATTAGCTAGCAAGTACATAGCTGAATATAAGTAAACATTACAATTAATTGATGTTTTTTCTTATTGTGAAATTCTGCAACATTCAAATGTATTAAAATTGCCATTTTGAGTTGGGCAATATGTGAAACTTAATCAAATACATAGAGATAAAAATAGCATAAAATATAAAAAATGACCACAACAACAACAACAACATCAAGTCTTTATCCCACTATGTGGGGTCGGCTACATAGATTCTTTTTCTCCATTTTGTCCTGTTGAGAGTTAAATTCTCAATTATATCTAATAAAGAAATGTCATTTCTGATACAAAAATACACAAAAACTTATACTAGTTCACCCAATCAATGGCTAAACTATTACCACTACTGTAGACTTCACAATGATTTGATTGTAGAGAATTACAACCCTAATTTATTTCATGCAAGCATTAAATGATACCTTCCTTAAAGTATATTGGGTAATACCGTTAATTCTGCATAGCTTGTTCTTTTTTTTTTTTTTTTTGTAGTACAAAAAATAGACCTCACAACTTAACAATTTGCTTATTAAAATTCTTTCAATTCATAAATGTGTTACTAGTAGAAATGTTTAAGGTGGTTCGGATAAAGTGTTTTTTCACAAACTGTATGAAGCTGTCGTTTCCCATCCAAAGCTGCTCAACTGTTTTTGTGAAAAATTTCTCTTCCAGGCCCAAGCTGAAACACCTTCAGGATCTGATACAAAGTGAAGTCGAGCATATGATGACAGGAAATTTCCGCCCAACTAAAGTGCAAAAAATGAGTTCAGAGTCGTCTGCAAATGGGCCATCTAGGCCTCCAATTTTTGCTTCTTGCAGTTCCTTCGGGGCTAAGGTGTTAGTTTTTATAACCATTTATATCTTAAATAGTTTAAAATATAATTTTAATAACTACCTAAATGTTAAGTAACTCAAAAATATAGTTCAAATTTTCTTCTAAAAGGCAAAAATGTGGATAACCTTTTTTATTATTAAAGCCAACCATTCTTTGTTTAAAATTTTCTATAATCGATATAAGTTGTGTATGAAAAAAAATAAATTAAAAAAAAATATATTTTTGCGCCTCTAAGTCTTCAATCTCCTGCATTAAATACACCATCAATTTCAAGATTAAAAAGTTCAGAAGCACTTGAAATCAGTGGTAATTGACAAACATCAATAGTTCTATATATGTTAATTTTCACATTTAATATTGGATGCTTTCTAGAATTTGATTTTGGAATTTGTCCAAAATCTAAAATCATTTTTTTTCATTTGATGGTCTGGAATTTAAAAATATTTCTAGTATTAAAATTTTTATTTCTTACATATTATGCATTACGTTAAACAGTTGAGCGTACGTAAATATTTGGATTTGATAACATTTAATTTTGTAATTTAGAAATATGCTTAGGATGCATAATATAATTTTAAATCCATCATTTGATATCAGAGAGGGGTTACAATACCTCTACCTTTACATTCTGATAAGACCGAAATTTTCTGCATTTAAAATATCAGTCTGTTGTATTGTAAGCCCAGTTCTGTTAAACCCTTATGGATGAAATGGATTACTATGTTAGATATGGCCATTAAATCAATAATACCAAGCCTATGATGGGCTCCACGTGAGTCTCATATTTCATTTGGAACAACTTTCTTATTGCTTTCTAAAACAACTTTCTATTATAAAAATTTTTAGTTCAAGAAATTATTATACTAAAAATTTTGGCAGTTGTCTTGGAGTGCTAAGCACATTTTGACTGCAACTTCTACTATGGAGGCCGAGTTTGTATCTTGTTTTGAGGCTACCTCATACAGTGTATGGTTGAAGAGCTCTATTCCTAGGTTTTGACTTGTGGACTCTATATATAGGTTATTTAGGATATATTGTGACAATGCAACTGCAGTTTGTATGGCTAGAACAACAAGAGTGGTGGATGGAGAAAGCACATCGACATTAAGCACTTAGTCATATGAGAACTTATCAAAGAGAATATTGTGGTTATCAAGCACGTTAGCATGAGGTTGTTGATAAATGTATAGAAGTTTAGGGATCATGCTGAACTTCTGGGTCTTAGTTACTTTGATTTTATTGTATGAATAAATATTATAAATAAGACTCTTATGATTGTGATGTTTTTCATATTTAGCTAATTGTGTACATGTCTATTGGTATGATAAACATTATTAAAGTTTGACTTAACATGAGCATTGGATTTATTTATTAAGTTATATGAATATATGCATAGAAGACATATTTATGATGATACATGGGAGAGAGATAATACTGGCTTTTAGACAACCTATCATCATGATCCATAAATTTAATTCTTAATATAGTATTGATGGAATGTTTGGATCAAGTGGGAGAGTGTTAGTTTTTATAACCATATATATTTTAAATAAGTTAAAATATAGTTTTTATAGATTTCTATATTTTGGATAAGTCAAAAATATGATCCAATTTTTTTTTTCTAAAGGCAAAAGCTTGGATAATCATTTTTTTGGTTATTAAAACTATCCATTCTTTATTTAAAAACTTCTATGATGGATAGAAGTTATATATATATATATATATATATATATGAATAAAACAAATTCAAAAAAAAGGGTCACGAAGCTTTCAATTTCTTTAAAAAAATATACCATTTGAGAAACTTTCGATGTAGGAGTTGCAGAGAGATAGGAGAAGAAGAAGCATAGAGAAATTTCTATATAGAACTGTAGCTTACTTGTGTATATGTATATGAAATCAGGTATTACAGAGTAGTTTATATAGATGAGTGAAGGACACGTTGTTAGACGGTATAAAAAAGCCGTTGATGACAGATTGTGCATACAGTGGGAATGTAGTGGTAATAGTGGGTAGTGTTGCTTGCATAGGTGGTCCACAATGTGTAATCATGTAGCATTGTTGTTGATGATCCGAGTGTGCTAACAACCCCCCTCAAATTAACAAGCTAGAGTTTAGATTGTTAATTTCTTTCGTAGAGTCTAGAAGCGAGTGATGGATATGGGCTTCGTCAGTATGTCTGCCGGTTGATCAATCGAGTTGATGTGAAGAATTTCACTTGCATTGGTCTTGATGTGCTGATTGATGAAGTGTTAGTCGATCTTGACGTGTTTCATCATGGCATGAAAGATTGGATTGTGTGCGAGCGCCATTGCTGAGGTGTTATCATAGAAGATTTCGGTGGTTGGCAGTTGTGCGGCATGGAAATCAACTATGAGGCATCTGAGCCAAATTACGTCAGAGATTGTTGAGGATAGAGCATGATATTCAGCTTCTGTAGAAGATTTGACAACAATGGGTTACTTTTTAATGCACCAGGATAGTAACTTCTGTCCAAGGAAACTGCAAAAGTTGATAATGGATTTCCTGCCAGATGAATCAACTGCCAAATCTGCATTAACGTTGGTATGAAGGGAGAAATCGCTGTGAACTAGGGGAAGGCCATACTATTTTGTACAATTCATGTATCTGAGTAGTCGTTTGAGCAACTGATAGTCTTTATTGGTAGGATTGTGCATGTGTTGACAAATGTTGTTTGTGGCAAATGCAATGTCAGGCTTGGTAATGGTCAGATATTGTGGTGAACATGCAAGTTTGCCATATAAATGTTTATCGCTGAAGGGTTGATCCGAGTGTGACCCAGGAGATGATTTGAGAGACATCGGCGTTAGGGCCGGTTTGGAGTTAGCAAAGCCTAAAGTTTGCAGCAAATCCCTAGCATAGTAAGTCTGATGGAGAAAGAAGCCTTGATTTGTCTTGCATACCTAAATTCCTAGGAAAATGGAGACCGTGCCGATCTGTTTAAGAGAGAAAGATGATTGTAATTTGGACAGGAGATGATGTATGTGCATGTGATTGTTGCCGGTGAGGAGAAAATCATCTACATAGATGAGTAAGTACATTTGAATATTATTGGTTGAATAAATTAGGAGGGACGGATCTGATTTACCGAAGTTGAAGCCAAAGTTTAATAGAAATGTTGTGAGCTTGTTGAACCACTGCCGTGGAGCCTGCTTGAGGCCGTAAATTACCTTGTTAAGTTTACAGACGTAGTTTGGAATTGAGAGTCAATGAAACCCGGAGGTTGTCTCATTAAACATCCTCATGAAGTTCGTCGTGTAGAAAGACATTAGAGATGAAGAGTTGTAGGATGGACCAATGTTGTTGTAGTGCAATAGTGAGTAAGAGGCATATGGTAGGCATCTTGGCTATTGGATTGAAAGTTTCCTTGTAATTGATGTCGTACTGCTACTTGAAGCCTTAAGCAACTAGGCAGGCTTTGTACCTATCAATCTGTTCGTCATGTTTGAATTTAACCAATGTTTAAAATTGCACAATTGGGTATTGAGGTGATTTTTGTTTATAAGGCGAGATGTAAGCTTCAAGGCGTTTTGAGGCATAAGCCTCAAAATCAAAAAATTACGTAAAGTGATAATAAATATCAAAAGTAATTTTTTATATAATGCCTATATAATATGTTAAATGATGACATATTAACTTCCTATTAAATTATGAATTAACAAATTGGCATACATATGAAACAAAAAATTGCACAAGATATAAAGTGACAAGTGATAAATTGCGTGAAATAGAATCTAAATTCAAATATTATAAGAGCAAAATAATATGAATTATAGAAATTGTATAAAAGTATCATATAACATGAAGTTCAACTCCAAATTTTTTCTTTCTCAATTCTCTACTCATTTACATTTAATTCCTAATAAAAGCTAAAATAGTTGGCAACAATTTAGAACTCATCTACACTATCTGATGTAGCATGATGCAAATCCAGGATTTGTATTTAGAAGCTTAACAAAAGATTATTCAAGTATGATAATTGCAAGTTAAATCTTGTTCCCAACTTAAGCTTTTCGGAAATCTCAATTGTTAACTACGACTAGCCCAAGGAAGAACTCACTAAGAGATCTTGTCATGCACTCACAAAGAGAACAAAGAGAATAATTTTCATTTCATCAATAATGCCCCAATACAATGATATAAGCCTTTATATATAGGCTTACAGAAAAATAAAAGCATAAAGTCACAAATGCCCTTGGGCTACAATAAGTGAAACATCCCTCATAGGGGTACAAACGGAAACATGAAATAACTATTAAAAGAAAAGAACTAAAGCATCATAGATAAAGGCTCTGAATCAGGGCCGTCGATCGTCGTCCCCGGCGATGGTACACATGTCGAAATCTGATGCCCTCATCACTATCATCATTGAGGTGATTTTTAGTTGAGTTGTCACCATAATCAACCATCATGTTTGAATTTAAAACAGCGAGCATCTCCTCCAAGGGAACCTTGAGGCCCGCCTCAGCGCAATTCTAGTGAAAAACACTTTGAGGCTTACACCTCTAGCTTTTTTATGAGGCTTGCGCCTCAGCTTGGTTGAGGTTCGCCTTGAGGCACGCCTCGCCTCGCTAGTGTGAGGCTTACGCCTCACCCAATATGTATATGTTTTTGTTAAATCTAACATAAATCACGTCTTCATGCACATTAGAGCGCAACAACTTTATAGGTCCAACGACAACTGAGTATGGGTTCATTTTGTGGAGCTGGAATGAGAGACTAGGTTCCCTATTTTTGAAGTGCAAGGAATTCAGTGGACATTGCTTCTCATCTACATTGATGTTTAACTGCTTGAATGTGCTTGGATGGTGTAAGGGACATTTGAGGAGTGCTGATAATTCGAAGATTTGCTTGGGCTTGAGGTGGCCTGATCGGAGCCTTGTTTACATAGGATGAATGGATGGATGAAAGACGAGTTTGGGAGGAGGCTCGATGGGAGTTGGATCGAGAAATGGAAGGTCTGAGGTGGTTGGAATAGATTGAGTTTGTAGAGGGGATGAGGTATTTGTTTCAGTGGTGTTGGAGGTGAGGTTTGATGGAGGAGATGCTTGGGAAGGGTTTGAAAGGGTGGTTGTCGGAATTAGCATAAGTGGCGAAGTGGAGGTGGGTGTAGGTGAAATGATGGATTGGCGAGAAGAAGAGGTATATGGAAACACATGTTCATGGAAAACAATGCGTCGTGATTTGTCGATTTTCTTGGTGTGAAGATTGAAACAATGATAACCTTTTTGGGAGGTAGAGTAGCCAAGAAAGATACATTCTAGAGAGTGTGGATGCAGTTTGCTTGGAGCTAAAGGTTTTAGCCAAGAAAAGCATAAGCAACCGAATGTTTTAAGATGTGTGTAAGTTGGGGTGTAACCATGTAGCAGTTCGAAAGGGATTTGAAGTTTAATAGCTTTGGTGGGTAGGCGGCTTATGAGATAGTTGGAGGTCTGTAGAGCCTCGGCCCAAAAGTGCAGAGGGAGGGTGGTGGCATGTAAGAGGGTGCGGGTGGTGTCCAATAGATGACAATGCTTGCGTTCGGCAACTCCATTTTATTCTGAAGTGTAGGGATAGCTGAATTGGTGGGTGATGCCCTTGTCGAGAAGGAATTTTTTGAAGTGATGACTAGTGAATTCACTGCCACCATCTGAGCTAAAAGTTTTAATATGTGTATTGAATTGATTTTTGATAAGTTTAGTGAATTCTTGAAACTTAGAAAGAGTTTCATCTTTGGTATACATGAGAAATAACCAGCAGTATCTTGAGTAGTCATCTATGAAAAATACGTAATATTTATAACCATAAAGAGAGGCGACCGAAGCAAGCCACCAAACATCTGAGTGGATGAAAGCAAAAGGTTGTGTGGTACAAGGAAACTTTGATTAAAAGATAACTTGTGGCTTTTGGCTACATTACAAGATGTGCATAAAACGGAAGATGAGATACATAGAGATGGTATGGTTTGAAACAGATTGCATAAGACTTGCCGATGCAGATGTCCTAAGCGAGCGTGCCAGAGAGAAGTAGGTGCAAGTGTTGTATGAAGAGCGGTGGAGTGTGGTGACTGGGATGAAGTGATCGGATAGATGCCGTCATGGCTGCAACCACATAGAAGAATTTGATTGTCCGGAAGGTCCTTGATCACAAAACCACCGACGTCAAAAGAGATAGTGCATATATTATCATATATTAATTTATCAATATAGAGGAGATTGTGGGATAAGAAGGGAATGTGAAGTAAGTTGCGGAGGAAGAGCTTACGAGTGGTGTCCATAAGAGGTAGAATACCTTGACCACTATGTCTGATGGGAAGAGGTACCGTTTGCAATGGAGACATAATCAAGTCCTTGATAGGGAACGAGTTGTTGAAGGTTGTTTACATTTGCGATCAAGTGGTTGGAGGCACCGGAGTCGAGACCCACTCGGTGGGAGGTGTATGTTGGTGAGTGAACAAGGTCCGAGGAGTCTAAGATGGGGAAGGGGCGTATTGAAGGTTACATCGGTGCCAACGGAGAGGGATGAATGTCCAGCTTTGCCACATATTTGATAGATAGGGCACTGATTGGGCGGTGTAGGAGGTGAGGGTGATCTGACATTGGCAGTTTGTTGTTTGAATTGAGCGCCACAACCGCGGTTGGGGCGGTTCTGGGTTGAGGAGCTGAAGCGATTGTGGAAGACACTGCGAGTGGAGTAGAGCGCAACACTGTCAAATGAAAGGGGTGATATATTTCTGTAATTCATTTTGAATGTTGACCTCCTCGCTTCACAAAAGGGAGTATAGGGTATCAAAGCTGATCGGTTGGATGGAGGTGCATATGACAATTTTAAAGGAGTTGTAGGAGTGATGGGGACATCGTCAGAGATTGCGACACATGTATCATCAGGAGATGCCGGAGATCGACGGCCACGATCATGACCTTTATTTTCATCATTTTATAGTAGTTTATTTGATTTTTATGTTTTCCGTTTTTGCCCTTATGGGTAGTTGGTCGTTATTGTAGCCCGAGGGGCATTTTAGTCTTTTGTTGTCTTGTCATTTTGAGGCCTATTTATATGGCCATTTTCTGATGTAATCTTAGTTTTGAGGAAATGAAAATATTTTGTGTTCTCTTTGTGAGTTCCCCCCCCCAAGATCTCTTAGTGAGTTCGCCGGAGATCTCTTTAGTGAGTTTCCGCCGGAGGAGACTAGATCTCTTTGTGAGTTCTAGTTTTCAACCTTCTTATCTCGTGAAATTCAAATCGAATATAATTGACGGTTAGTAATTTCATGGTCGCTCGATTCCCTTGAAGTTTCCCTCTCTTCCTCCCCTTGCATTTGCCGCCGCCTAGCCTTGACCTGCTCAAGCCTCCGCCACCTTAGCTGCCTCCTCCGCCAGCCAATCCCTCTCCAGACCTTGGGCCGCCGACCCAAGACCATCCCGTGCAGCCACCCCACCTCTACAGCTCCCCTACTCCACAACTGCCCGACCGTGGAGCTCCAGCCCACTGGAAAATTTTTCCTGCAGGCCCCTTGCCGCCAATCCTCCTTGCTTTGCCCAGCCCGTGGAATTGCCAGCCTTAACGGCATAATTAATTGCCTCATTAATTGCCATATTATGGCTGGTAATTAATCATGTTTGAATATGTTTGAAATTCA